TACTTACTTGCTCTCTTAGCTCATGTCTATGCTTAATTACTAGGTTTGTTCCGACTACGTAACCTAGTCTCCTACCAGAGGGGGCTGGGTAAATGGATTTGACCAAGGAAAAATGTAAATGTGCTCCTTCATCATCCAAAATACTTCTGCAAAACTTTCTCAGAAATTCCAAGGAGATAAGTAATGATTTGCTGATCTCTCGTAAGCGTGTTTCTTGTCCAGGTGATTCTGCTTGGGTGCCTGTCTGGAATAGTTCCCTGTATTTAGTTTCTCTGGTTCGGCTGTTCAGCCGAGTTGTTTCAATTTGGCAACACGACCCAAGTGGTGAACTGAGTCCTGAGTGGGAAGGTGTAAACTAGGCAAAATTGTTCGGAAGTAGAGTGCATTGCACAACAGCAGCTTTCATAAACAAGTTGACACAACATGTTAAAGTGCCTAAGACCATCTGTGGTGAGAACAAATGACTTTCCCTCAGTCCTAACACTTTCGTGGCATTTTCTTTTAGTTACACTGGACCTTCAAATGAAGAGTGCGGTTGTTTGAGCCAGATAGCTTGCGTAAAGTGGTACTATATGAACTACCTAATAAAGGTCTAGAGACAAATGTAAATTTTGTCATGACCTTTGTGTTGCTATTTTATTTTTAGAGACATTTATACTCTTTGCAAACTACTACTAATGGTTTACCTCAAATTGGAAATGTGCTTTTATTTGTTTAAGGCAGAAAATAAAATTCTCTTGCATAATGGTGGCGTTTGTTTTTATTTACTGCAACTAAATGTGATACTTAATCCTCCCCCAATGGTTCAAGTTTTACATTGTCTTTCTCCAATGTCTTACATTATCCAACGCATAGATTGAGTATAGTATGTTCTAGCTGAATGCCTGTAAATGCGATTCTGCAGTTGTCCTGCTCTCAGCTGGGATAGAGTTAATTTTCTTCCTAATAGCTGGTATAGTGCTGTGTTTTGGATTTAGTATGAGAATAATGTTGATAATGCACTGATATTTTAGTTGTTGCTAAGCAGTGCGTACACTAGTCAAGGACCTTTCAGCTTCCCGTGCTCTGCCAGGTGCACAAGAAGCTGGGAGGGGGCACAGCCAGGACAGCTGACCCCAACTGGCCAATGGGACATTCCATACCATATGACATCATGCTTGTATATAAACTGGGGGGAGTTGGCCGGGGGGCAGCAATCGCTGCTTGCGGATGGGATGGGCATCGGTCGGCGGGTGGTGAGCAATTGCATCGTACATCACTTGTTTTGTATATTCTTTTATCATTATCATCATTATTATTCTCCCTTTGCTGTCCTGTTAAACTGTCTTTATCTCAACCCACAAATTTTACTTTTTTTTTTTTCAATTCTCTCCCCTATCCCACTGGAACAGGGAGTGTGAGCGAGCAGCTGTGTGGTGCTTAATTGCTGACTGGGGTTAAACCATGACAGTAATATAATTTAACAGAATATTAAATATAGAACACGTTCATGTTGTATAATATGCTTTGCTGTTGCAAAAACAGAGTTAGGCATAAAGAGGTCCAAGTAACTGTTAACACTGAGCAAAAGCTGGAGCTTTGGAAGGCTGTCACGTAGTGGAACTAGGCCAGGCTGTAACCTACCCCTCAGTAGACGCAACCATCTGACTTAAGTTAGTCCATAATGTATCCTGAGGAACTGAACGCTATTTTAAGTATCAATCTGTACGTTACAACATGATGCATCATAAAGAATAATAATAATAAATAAAAACTACCCAGAAAACCAGCAGTAACACAAGGCAAAGCTTTATGTTAAGCGTCCGTGCCTCTTGGGAAGGAAGAATTACACTTTGGTAAGACCACTACTTTTTCAAAGAAAACAAAGAGAATTTATTGTGAAAGGGGAAGAAGCAAGTCACAAAAGCAGTGGTTTCATGAAGCAGCAGGCACGGATTTTATTTTCTTCTAAAGTGCTGGAGAGAATGGATGGGGTTTGGCTTGTTTTTACTCTGTTCATTGCAACTTGATCCCTTCCTTTAACAGCGACTGGCTGCTATGACTAAGCAAAAAGAATGACACCAGGTAGCTTAACAGATTGTACATTAACCAAGTGGGACACGATGACCAGCTAAGAGCAGAGACTGTCAGCAGTCTCCCTCATCTGAAGTGTCCAAACACCCGTTACTCGTGTGTGTCACACCCTCATACCTGAGGAGCTCTAGGACAAATCAAAACAATTGAGTAGCATCTCATTTCCAACCAGTTCTGGCATACTGTCAACTGCTTTGTAAAATTCAGATATTCTTTTATCTGGACTCTACCTGCTCTTAATCATCTTTATTAGCTCTTATTTACGCTGTTTCAGTTAAACAAAAAGAAGTTCAGTAATGAATGCTTATGTCGAGAGTTATGTAAGGGTTTTTACAAAAGGTGAGGCGTTTCTATGCATTGCCTGGAATCTCTGGATTCAGAAGAAAGGGCTTTATATTGTAATTGCTGTATTCTTATATTTCAAGCAGATGGACTGAGGTAATAATAGGCATTGTGTATTTCTGCTTTAAAACCAGCCTGTAGGATTTTGACTTCAGCTTTCAGCTGGAGATACAACCAACTGGCCATGTATTTCTGATAATAAGCTTAGTTCAGACAGCTCCCCTGAGAAGACTTCTGCTCTCACTAGCTCTATTAGGAGGCATTTTCATTAGTTCTGTATGGAAAGTCAGATTTGATTGCAAGATCTGCAGTCTCAGGGCCCTACTTCATATGTGTCAGAGTAAACAGTGTTTCCATAAAAAACCCCTCGAGACACCAGCTGAGTACCAGCAGCACATGTCAGGCTTAAACTAAAAGATGTGAAATTATGCCAGCAATATTCTTCATTTCCATTGCTGAACTATATAAATGCTGCTTTTAATGCATCTTTTCACCTATTAGATGTTCTAATTGTCTAAACAGTCTGTAACTTTCATACCTGAGATGTGACATTTATTCCTATAACTATTGAAATTTAATCTACAAAGCTATGGATTTAAAAAGTTTTAAAGCAAACTGTTATATCTATCTTTAAAGATTAGCCTTCAGGATAATAAAATTACACTGAACAGTCCAGTGTATGAAAGGATGGGGCTCAAATTAAGTGTGTCAATAGCAAAAGTAAAGAATTAGTATTGAAACACGTAAAAACAGGTTCTAAGTAATGCCACCTGTAAACAAGTAGGAAACCCAAAAGTTCTGTTTCAATATGAAGATTACAATGCTGTCTCACATTTTAAAGTGCACGCATATTTTATTTATTAACAATGTTTTACACGGAATGAGGACTTGGAGATAGAGAATTTGCTTTATCAATTTCAATCAATATAGGTGAATGCAAGAAGCAATTACAGAACTGGTGTATTTATTTGTTATTGAATATTGTAACAACATGTTGATAAGACACTGGAAATTTACACCGAAGGAAATCTTTAGTTCCTGCTCCCCCAGATTAACAAAAAGAAATCCTTCCTCACCTGTAATCGAAAGGCCTGTCTCATGGGAAATGGGTACTTACGCACACAGAACCATCTATAGATTGACAGAGGGGGAAGTTTTGTCGTCTTTAATCCGCAAATATTGCATAGAGAAAAAACACCCTTCGTATGTCGTATCAGTGCAACTGAAACATTTTACACAGTCAACAAATACAATAGTTGATCTTCATTGTAACTGTATAAAATACTAAAAAGGAGACTTGAGAGGGGTGTAAATGTTCTCCAAAATAGTCAGAAAATATTTATGTCAAGAAAATAAGATCTTTTTAGATAAAAGTAATAGATTAACAGTACTTTGAGTAGCAACCATTTGTCATTCATGACCCTGAAAAGGCACTCAACATCTGAACATGTGAACAGAGAAGCCTGATAAAACCTGGCTTAGAAGCCTGTAGGAATCACCAGTATTGAACACTGGGGGAAAACCTATCTCCCATGAACAATTACAATTTTTTTTTATTACTATTTATTAGAGCAGAAGTTACAAACATGGGTAAGATTCTATGTAATGAAGGCAACATCATCACATTAACTTAGTATATTGACATGTAATAAATAAAGCATACTAAAATGAAAGCTGAAATAATCAGTGTATTGAGCTTAGAACTGGTCCTCTATATCTTGCTAAGGGACTTTGTCCAAAAGCAATTGTGGCTGTCTTCTAAATATAGCCAGCTGAATAAATATGGATATCACTCAAGCTCCTAGACTGCGTTTTCACATTTTTACCTACATGCAGCACAAATCTGACAACATTTGACAATTCCTCTGGAAATTACTTTTAAGCAAACTCATACTAAATAGCTATCTCGCTGCATGTGCCTTCAAAAGGGCACGTTCTGAAATCTTGTCAACAAGTTTTCAACCTGCATATATATGGGGACTGTCAGCATGCTGACAAGCACTGCCCTTTCACTAACATTCAGAGCTTTGCTTAGACAATCATTCAGATTCCTGGAAGCACTACATCTAGCACAAGTTCAGTGAAATTGTTCCTCCCAAAGATCAGCAAGTTTTCAGAAACACCTCTAGAATTGTAAATAGAAAACAAGCACTTTTCCAGTGTGGGTTTTACAGAAGATGGGATTTTTTTCGTATTTGGAATTCTATTACTTCCCACAATTGAGTATAAATGTCCCCCACACACCTTCCAGTTCCATCATTTTAACAATCTGATTGAGGAGGCACTTCATATGCTTGCTCTAGGATTTATACAGCTATGTTTTTTTCCAATGACTCGTTACTACTAAATACTGTAACTTTGATACTTACATGGTTCCCTACATTTAATCAGAATATAACACACTGAGATCTCAATCTGTAACCTTTCAAATTCTTAGCAACTGGTCCATGAAAGTTTGTCTGGCCCTGGGGAAAGTTTTGGTCCTCTGTTATCCAAAAGGTAAACACAGATTCTGGTTTTGTGGGTCACTACACCAGTTAGATATTCTAACCAAAGGAATTACCTAAGCAAAAAATACCCAGTATTTCATACACCTTTTAATGGTCAAAGGGCTTTCTTCTCCCACTTCTATAGAAGAGCTATTATATAGTAGCTGTTCAGCATCCTCTTCTGGGCTCTGCTCCACAGAAAGTATCTGAGCAGGGGTTTGTCTGAATCATCTCAAGAGGAAATAGAGGGCATCCTCTGACATCTGCATCCATCTCTCTTCTCAACATTAATTTCCTCTCATCTCCTGTAGGTAAGTATACGAAAAAGTTACTTGAAATGAGTTTGTTGGGGGGCAGGGAGGGAAAGGGTATGGGGAGGTAGCTGTAAGGTATCCACCAACAAACCGAAAGCACAGTAAATTGTGAAAGGACTGTGAGTCATAGCCAGAAACATAGCAATCCTGTATGGAGATCAGACGACTACCTATATATAAATTCACTAACTTCAGACAGTACTTCCCACCCATATGTACCACATATTGAGTTGCCTAACAATGTTGTCTAAAGCAGGTTGAGTTGTTAGCATGCATGTTGCTATTAACAGAATAGCCACCTATCTGCTAATGCCCATGACAGATACTTTGCTGTCCAATTAAGTAGACAAATACTACTCTTCAGGAGCAGCTGCGCGTAGTGTTTCTGAGCTAAACTGAACAAACCTTTAACTGCAGAGAAGTCGCACTCTTTTTTGACGCCATGTTTACACTTTTTAAAACTCTTTTTAAAAACTTACCATTCAATACTGTTAAGAACTGTGGCAACTGACCTCACCTGACAGAGACCTGTCAAATTCAGTTACCTTAGTTCTAGTGTCCCTCTTTCTCACCTGTCCTCTGGAGGGTCTCCTGAAGTGGCGAGCCATCATGAGGAGTAACATCTGGTGCTGCTATGGCGGTGTGAAGTGTCTTGAATTTCACTTTGTTGTGGAACATTTTCTTACATTTTCTTTGTATCTTTCTGAGTGATTCCAGCTGCATGCAACTGTCCGTCTCTGAAAAGCCACATTCATCAGAGAAAAGATTAGAAGAAAGCTTTTTTCGCTTTTTCTTCATTGTGCGAGCATTTCTCTCCTCTTCCCTGGATTGTCCCTCACTTTTATGTCCTTCATGTCTTAATTTACTACTAGACCTCTTGCACGACTTTTTAAGCTTATGTTCACACTGCCTTGCCAAGCCCGCATGGACAGAATTAGAGCAGAAGCTACATTTACTGCTTTCCTTCTCTTGACCTTCCAGAGTTACATTTTTAAGGTAAACCAGTAATTTTCTTTCGCCAGCTCTTGCAGGCAAGCACCCTTTATTACAGTTGCTGTAAATTTCTTCACACCTTCTTTCTGTTCTCTTCACTGAGCTGCTACATGCCTCTCTAAAGTACTCGGAATCACTGATCTCTTCCAACAAATCCTTTAATCTGCAAGCAGATCTACATGTCTTGTATGGTACGGTAGCTTCATCGCTATCATCTTCTTGTTTGAACTCCTTATCACGAGTAACAGCAGTGCAATCCAAAGAATGATTCAGTCCAGCATGTGGTAAGTTATCAACAGTGAGTGAGTCATTCCTCTGCACTTGCAACTTTTTTGCAAACCTACCCCCATAGGTCTTGTTTTCTAACACTGTGTCTGTTGACTCAAGTTCCCCAACAGTGATCACCAGTCTATAATTATCATCACTACTACAATTTCTCTTGTTGAGGTTTTGTACAGGACTCACTTCTCTGAAGTGCTGACCATGTTTGTTACTCAAGCTGATGTCAAAATCACTATCATCATCAGACACCACTCTCTTCCACCAGCACTTGTTTGCAGTGGTTTTTGGCTCTAAGCAAACACGTGCATAGCGTGGTGTCTGATAGTAGTTTAGTAAATAATGGATGAATTCATCAGTCTCAAAAACCTTCTGCTTTTTGCAACCGTGTTCATCAGACACTGTCGGTGTGTGAACTACATTCAATGTTGGGTAGTCCCTTCCATCGAGAGACTCGATGACCCTGCAGTCTTGCGTAACTGTAATCAGTAAAGATCCACAGCCAAAGGAGTTGCACACTTCTCTGCCAGGCAGTCCATCAGAACTCGGGGCTGTAGAGGGATCATTTAAAATTGTCCTGATGATATGACAAGTAGATACATGGAAGTTATTCACATCTCCTTCCTCGCTACATAAGCTGCTACCTTTTTGGGTTAATGGGCACTTAAACTCTTCCTTATGTTTCAACTCTTTGTGCGTATGATAATGGGAGTTAATCAGCTCCTGATGTATGTCTTTTAATGCTGTTTCAGAAAAGGAATCGTCCTTCCTTACGCCCAATGAAGGATCCAGTTTTTGACTTGCCAACTGTGCAAAATCCTTCAAATAAAAAAATTAGGAAAATGATTACGTACATTTATGAGCACTACAGAGTGATAAACTGCAAACTCATAAGCAAGCAGTCCCACAGTCAGAAGAATTATACAGGTGAGGGCTAAGTTTGGCTTAGTTCAGAGCGCTACCGTACAACCTCACTATTCCTAAGTTAGAACTACAGATATTTCATTATCTCAGGAAGCTGATTCTCAATTAATTAAGAAAGTGGTCCTTTCAATCAATTAATCTATCTCACTGCAACTGCATAAGAAAATATTTATTCTTTGTTTGATCACAGCATCACAACTAGTATTGCGTGCAACAGTAAAATTACTACACTTTTGTTGATCAAATGTTTTATTCAAATACATTGCTTTGTTATACATTGTTTTAAATGGGTCCAAATACAAGCAATCTAAAGCTTTCCAAGTGGTGAAACCAAGAAAATAGAAGTTTATTTAACACATCACCTTCCGAATTAAGAAGGCCAGTATCAGATGTTATGGGGCTCTAAAATTCATGCGGAACGGCACGGGTAGCCTCTGATTTCAATTCTTAGTAAATTATAGTCTGTTAGAAATCTTTAACATTAAGGATTGGGGAAAACATACACTTGTTAAAAGCTGCAAGCAAATTTTTACTTAGCAAATAATGAAGACAAAGCCATGTTAGCATCCCCAAGAAATGAAAACCCCTGTTTTCATTTAAAACTCTTTTTTTAGCCCAAAGCACTAAAATAAACCTCCAAACATTAATCTGTATGCAAAACACTTGAATTTTTAATCCTCCTCTGCTGACATTCTCAAGACCTTAGCTGAATCAAACTGAAATAAAACTGATAGCTTAGTGTTGGCCACAAAAGAGAGGCTGATAGCTTAGTGTGGGCCACAAAAGAGAGGCTATTAGAAATGCAACTGGCATAATCCGTGTCAGTTTAATTCTGTCACTTGCAGACCTGAGACCAAAACAATCAGAGAGCGCATCATTTGCATCCCCGCCCCGAAACTCCTTGTTTGCAACGCTGGATCAAGTCTAACAGAGCTGGTACAGCCCTTCCAGCCCTATTTTTACTCAGTGACAAGGCCTTGAACAAGCATCAAAGGCAAAGTTTCTGGGTGGAAATGCACTACCTTTGCTCTCAGGGCAAGCCTGGGAGCAGATTGTCACAAGACTTAGACCTCAGGCTTTCTCAGTGTTTGGTCAGTCCCAAGGCATTCTTCTGAATCGCATCAAGACATCAAATGTCTAGTGAATTATTCAAGCTCTAATAAATACCCTTCAAAATTTAAAATATGTTTTAAAATAGTCTTACTTTCACACGGTTTAACAGCACTGTAAGCAGTCTGACAGACTCCACTCTTCTCTGAGCTAGCAGGGATTTCCTTTCTTCCCATTCAGGCATATTCTCTGGCCACTGCTGTTCTTCAGCTGGTACCTTCTGCTGCTTTTGGGGATGTTTCTCATCTCCATCTATCTGCCCCTCTTCTCTCCTCTCGAGCTTAGCTTTCTTTTTTCTCTCTTGAACTTCTTTTCATCACCACGTCTTTTTCTAGGTAATTATCAATATGGGACAATTTAGATGACACTTGTTTTACATTTTGAGTCCTGGGGAATTGGATGCAAGTCTTTGAAGTGCTCATAATAAGCAACCAGTTGCCAAGAATCTGCATGTGACTAACAAGGAATCTCGTTTGTTAGAATAACATGGTTAAAAAAATGGCACATAGATGACATGCATCCAACTGATGCACACATTTAGAAAGTTCTTTGTCTCTTCAAATGGTTTGCATTCTAGGGTTTTCTTTATAAGCACTGCCAAGATGACAGATTCACATCATCATTTGTCTCCAAGGACACAACTAGAGACTGATCATTTGAATATAATTCTTAAGTTAACAAATCTCCCCTACAGATTAGCATGAGGGTCCTATTTAAGAGATATTTCCACTGTTCTAAAAGTTAAAGTTGAAGCTGTGTGCTGGTTTTGGTTGGGGTAGAGTTAATTTTCTTCACAGTAGCTAGTATGGGACTATGGTTTGGATTTGTGATGAAAACAGCGTTGATAACACACGGATGTTTTCGTTCCT